TCTGTATGTCATAGTTTTGAGATTCTTTTCAGTAATTTAAAATCTTAAAGTCATGTTAAATTAAATAGTAGATAATCATAAAATGTCTGAGTCATTTCTAGGTAAATTAAAATACTGAAGTAACTGAAACATAATTTTAAATTTATACACTTTAATATCTTACTTTAACATGATATAAAAGGCTAAAAATATTTAGATTTATTGGGGACTGATCACAGGTCAAAGTTACTTTAACTTCCTAGGTTTTTCATTAAAAACAAAAGTTAATAATAATTAACATTGTTATTACTATATATAAATAAAAAAGTAGTAGATATTTTTAAAATTCTGTATGCAAACTCCATTAAAAGGCAGGGTTGTTTTTGATAAAAGGTTATATAAAAAATAGAAATATGGTTTTGTTAAATGAAAATTAATTTTGCCTGATTTAAAGGTTTATAAAAATTATTTTAAATTAAATAAATTTTTTTTAAAATAGATAAAACTAAATGGATAACTCAACAGATCACTTGAGTCTATGTCCAGTATAGTCCAGTAGTTTGTCTCTGATTAACAGACTTCTTAACATTCCATGCCTTTAGACAAAGCTTCATTTCTTTAACCAATTATAAATCAAAAAATCTTTAAACCCTCCTACAACCTGTAATCCCCCACTTTGAAATGCCCTATCTTTTCAGGCCAACCAATATATGCCCCCCATATATTGATTTATGACTTGTAATATGATTTATGAATTGTAATATTGATTATGAAGTGTAATTCCTTTCTTCCTGAAATGTATAAAATCGAACTGTAACCTACCCACGGTGAGACCCCTTGCTCAAGGCTTCTTGGGTGTGGCCCTCTGGGCCATGGTCACACGTATTTGGCTCAAAATAAACCTCCTTAAATTATTTTACAGAGTTTGGATTCTTTTCCATTGACACTGAAAACTCCTACCACATGACCACAAAATGAATAGGGTTGTGAAAACAGCCTTTAATAATCCACGTTACCTGGATCTGAGATACAACTCTAATTATGTCACATGCGTAATTTTGCCACTTGTCTGCATCTGCAGATACCCTGCCACCATGTAAAAATGACCATTGTGTCATGCTTATCCCATCTTATCGCCGAGGAGGTACTGAGCAGATATACCTGAGGTGGGCAAAACCCAATTATTCTTCTTCACATTTTATGATCAGGAAATGGGGAATCAGAGAAGTTAAGCAATTTCCCCACATTGCCTGCAACTTTAAGTGCATGAGTCATAGGAACTGTCACATGAGACTGGTGAGCACTTGAAATGTGGCTGTCTGAACTGAGATATGCGCTAAATATAAACTATGCCCTGGAATTCAAAGTCTTAGTCTGAAAAAAGAATGTAAAATATCTCATTAGTAATTTTTTATATCAATTACATATTTAAATGTTTATTTGGGGTATATTGAATTAAATAAAATATATCATTAAAATCACTTTCACCCTTTTTCATTTTTACCTTTTATAATAAAGTTACTAGAAAATCTTAAATTACAATGTGGCTAACAGTAAATTTCCCTTGAACAATGATGTCTCAGAATTCTGTCTCTTCATCTGTTAAATGACGTTAATGATGAGAATACATGTAAAAGTTCCCAAGGCAGTAAGTGTTCTGGAAATGTTCGTTTTCTTCCCCTATCACTTTTTCTCACCAGAACACTCAGCCTCCTGACTTTCCCTTGCATGATACAGATACATTCAAAACCATTGTTGTATTTCCATCCAGATTTCTCTTTAGTAGGGGCATGGTTTTTTTCAGTCATGTGTTATTTGAAATCTTATGATTACTGTTTGTAAGCAGCAAGTCAGAAATGGGAACCTCAGGCCAAGATCCCGAAACTGCCTTGCCCAAAGCAGAGGCATCAGAGAATGCACCTATTCATAAACTCGTCACAGGCGCCTGTGAAAAGATACACTGACATTTAGGCAGGAAATGCACACAAGGTAATTCATTCCCATTGAAGCTCACTGAGCATCAATCTGGTTGTGATATGAATTATTCATGGGTTCCTCCATGCCACCCTTATGTTGGAGACTGATGTCAGAGAAGGACCCTTAGCTCTGACCCCCGTGTGGAGTGGCCATGTGTAGGACACCCCACCCTAGAATCAGCTTCCATCCTCCCCATGGTGAGGGTTCACCCGAGCAGGCTCAGAGGCTGCCATTGACTTCTAACCTACAATTAGGTTTCCTTATCCCATTGCCAGAAGACAGATGAATTTGTCCAGCAGCTGGCCCAGTTTTCCTGAGTAAACAACTCGAGATAATTTATGGAATTGATTTATGCTGTTCCTCTTTCCACAAAGAATTTATGGTGGCTATGTAAGATAAGTGGCCTTTTGTTGAATTTATTAAAAATTGTCCTCTAATCTCATGCTGTAGATGTCCTGGTCTGGGGTGACAAATTAATATGCTATAGGGCCCAAATAGTTATATTGATGAAGAGTGTGGCAACAGGGAGTGGTGGGGACTGTGCCCAACTGAAGAGCACCTGACTCATCTGCAGAGCCAGCTGCTGCCCAGCCAAGAAGGTTGTGGCCTTACGATGATGCACCTGGTGCAAGCACCCAGAGGGTGTTGCAAATCCTCTGATTGTCACAAAAAGTCAGGTTCCCAGATTTTAACATGGAAATCTCCTGATTTTTGAAATATCAGGCTGGATGAGCCTGCCTATTGGTCCAGTCTAACAAGCCAGACTGCTTGTCATCTCTGATCTTGTTTGATTACATGCGTAAAAGGCAGGCTTTCACGGGAAAGGTTTCTAACTTCTATTTCTCCCATATTCTTTTTTGTGCCTTCTATGCCTCATCCCTCCTTACATAGTACATGGTATTTATGCCAGTTACAATTTTCAAAATTAGACACCAACTTACCATCTTGATAGTTGTTCTAGATTCGTGTTAGTTATTCCTTTTTGTGTCCTTCTCCTTGTTTCTCCAGGTTCTCCAGACTCGAAGAGAGGAGAGAAAGCAAGGACAGGAGTTAGTAATAGCTCTTTTCTGACCAAATGCCCTCATCTGCAAGAAGATGTGGCTAAATCTACCATTTCATGTTTTATCTTCTGTATTGCCAGGGCATTGCCAGCATGGCAGGAGCTCAGAAGAGAAGAGTGGAAGAATTCCAGGCTAGGGTCCAGAAGGTCTCTCCTTTGTTTGAAGGCAGCAGTAGAGCAGTTAAAGGCGTGCCAGACCCACTGCTATACAACCTCCACCACGGGTGACTGAACTCCCAGCCTACCTGCTCCCAGCTCTCATGTGTCAGCCATCTTTGGGGACACTCTTTTTTTTTTTTCTGGGGCTTGTTCTGTGATGAGAGCCACTAATGTGCTTCCCAACTCCACCAGATACTTTGTCTTTGATGACAAGCCCTGAGCTCCTAGAAAAACCCAGGCTGTTTCTGCATGTTATAGGGTTAAAAATTAATTAAGCCAAAGGGCTACTGTAATCTCTCAGTATAACAATCCTAAGAAGCTTAACTTGCAAGCTTAACTGTTTGTGCTGGTTTGCTGGTTCTCTTCTTCTCACTTCAGGGGATGGCTCAGTGGTCACAAGGCAAATGATGGAGAAACCGCAAGATTAGATCAGATGAGGAACAGTCCAGCCACCAGGGGCCCCGTGGGAACAATGTGAAGCACAGGTCTTGAAGACCCTGAGTTAACTGAAGGACCATGGGCCTATAAAAGAGCCTAAACTTCTCTCAACAGGACAGTGGTTCTTTAAGATGAGAGCCTGATGTCCTCTTCATCTGCTGGCAAATTAATAAATCTTCCTCCCCTTTCCCCTCAACCCACTTGTTCTTGTTTTTTTATTTGGCTTTCGAAACAGGTACCGAGCTTTTGGTAACATGCACAAGTAAGTGAAGTTTTTTAGTAGACTTCAGTTAGGTAATTGGCTATTTTGAGTCTACCAGGTAGTTTGGTTGGTTCTTTTTTTTTTTCCTGCAGTTTTAATGAAGACATAAATTGACTCTGTCAACAGGAAGCACATCCAGACTACTTTTTTAAATTGCCAAATAAATATTATGCATATTTGTGGCATACCACATGATGTTATGATATATGTACACATTGTGGAATGGCCTAATCACTCTAATTAACATATGCAATCTACTCTCAGCAATTTCCAAATATACAATACCTTGATAGTAACTATAGTCACCATGTTGTACAATAGATTCTTGAACTTATTTCGCCTGTCTAGCTGAAATTTTATATCTTTTGACCAATATCTCCCCAGTCCCCATCACACTGCCCCCAACCCCTGGTAACCATCATTCTACTCTGCTGCTGAGTATGACATTTTGAGATTCCACATATAAGTGAGATCAGGCTGTATTTGTCTTTCTGTGCTTGGCTTATTTCACTTAGCATAATGTCCTTCAGGTCCATGCATGTTGTTACAAATGACAGGATTTCCTTCCTTACTAATAGCATTCCATTATGTTTATATAGACAACATTTATTTTTATCCATTCATCCATTTATGGACCCTTAGGTTGATTCCATTATCTTGGCTATTGTGAATAATGCTGCAGTGAACAAGGGAATGTAGATATCTCTTTGATATACTGATTCCATTTCCTTTGGGTGTATACCCAGTAGTGGGATTGCTGGGTCCTATGGTAGTTCTATTTTTAATTTTAGGGGGAACTTCCATACTTTTTCAGTAATGACTATACTACTTTACATTTCCTCTAATAGTGTAGCAAGGTCCCTTTTCTCCACATAGACTTTCTTTATTGATGCCCAGAAGTCAAAGTTTTGGGAACTACAATGTTACTATAAAAATGTTAAAGCATTTGGGGGGGGGCAATTGAAAGAAGACAGCTACATTTTCAGGACATGGATTGAGAAACAGTTGATGAAGCAAGATTAGCTCTACCTGTGCACAAACCCAGACAAGCAGCAGAAAGTCTGCCATGTTGGTCCACTCACAGGCCACACAATGAGTAGATAGAGTATTTTTGGTGGCCAGTGTCAGACTGGCATCTGCAAACAGTGCATCCACTTCACTGGTAAATGTACAGGAAGAACAATTTTCTGTAAAACACTTTACCTGTAGATGAAACACAACATACGAAAGTATAAAGTTTTACCGCTGTTCTGAGTGTTCCAGTCACATTCATGGAATTTGTTTCTTTAAGGAGTTGTCCTTTCTGTCTTGGAGCTTGTAGGGATTTCTTAGATTTTTGTGTCTAGTGACACAAATAAAGACATTTCAAAATTTCTCTCTGGTGATCAGAGGAACAGCCTAATCCCCACTTTAATGGATATGGTATATTCAGAGACTGCGTTTAATATTTGAGTGCACATATTTTTGCTTGTGTATTTTGTCTTGGGCAATACACACTTTGAAAAGCTCTTTGAAAACCTGCCTCCTGGCCACAGCTGACTGACATGGAGTGGGGATCCTGGCTGGAGCTGGCCATTCATGGTGTCTTTGCCAGGCCTCCCCTCCAGGCCACAGGCGGGTGATCCAAGGTGGGGGCTTGAGCTGCACTGGGCTAATCAGCTTCCTTCCCTGGGATTTTCAAACTGGAAATGAGAAAGAATGAGTGTCTGCCCAGTGGATGGAACTGTAACATGGTACTATGCAGACAGAGGAAGGTCTGCAATTAGCAACTGGTAAAGCCACTGCCAGGGAGGGGGAGAGGCAGAACTGAGGCAGGACGGGCATTCCAGGAGTGTTTCAGTCCAGCCGTCCCTACTCTCTCACAGCCTCTAACCCAGCATCCTTCCATAAACTCACCCTTCTAGCTAAACTGGGTTCTGCCACTTGACACCAAAGTCGTCCTCATCATTATAGTGAAGTTAGATCATATGCTGCCAACATGAACAAGTATACAGCAATTGTATTTTGTGCCAGGGGAGTGTTTCTAAAGATCTTTTATAATTTATACTGGATGGGTGTCTCTGTTTCCCAGCCAAGATGGCACCACCATCAGTACTTTAAACACAGTGTGCAATTTATTTGGTCCTCCAGCTTTGAATGTGTCAAAGGTTTAGCATTTTCTTTCCTTCTTTTTAAGTATCTTAAATTTGGGGTTGAGGAGAGAATTTTTGGTGGTTATAAAAGATGCCTCCAAATTCTTCCACAGTCCTCCCTTCAAAAATCCAAGATTTAGCTTTTACAAATATTGCCAAAAAAGTTTTCCAAGATGGTAGTGTTAGTTACCCTCCCACCACCAGGTACTCCATATTTTCAGCAACATTTGTTATTGTCAGTCTTTTTCATTTTAGTCATTTTATACCATTAGACATCAGGTGTGTAGTGGTGTCGTATTATAGTTTTTTTGTGTGTGTGTTGTTTTTTGAGACAGAGTCTCGCTTTGTTGCCCAGGCTAGAGTGAGTGCCATGGCATCAGCCTAGCTCACAGCAACCTCACATTCCTGAGCTCAAGCAATCCTGCTGCCTCAGCCTCCCAAGTAGCTGGGACTACAGGCGTGCACCACCATGCCCGGCTAGTTTTTTCTATATATATTAGTTGGCCAATTAATTTCTTTCTATTTATAGTAGAGACGAGGTCTCGCTCTTGCTCAGGCTGGTTTCGAACTCCTGACCTCTAGCAATCCGCCCGCCTCGGCCTCCCAGAGTGCTAGGATTACAGGCATGAGCCACCGCGCTCGGCCCATATTATAGTTTTAATTTGCATTTTCCTGATGACCATGGATATTGGGCACTTGTTCATATGTTTGTGGCCAGTTAGATATTGTATTTCATAAAATACCTGTTCAAGCTTTTTGCCCATTTTCCTGTTGGGTTGACTGCCTCTTACTTATTGATTGATTAAGGTTCATTATATATTCTGGTTATAAGTCCTCTGTTGAATATATGTATTGCAAATATCTTCTCTAATACATGGCTTTCCTTTTCATTCTCTTATGAGTGTCTTTCAGTTAACAGGGTTTTTTATTTTAATGAAAAGAAAAATCTTTCCATTTTTTTCTTTCATAGTTAGTGCTTTATATATTTTGCTTAAGAGCCCTAAGGTCATGAAGTTATTCTCCTGTATTTGCCTCTGAAAGTTTTTTATTCGTTTGTTGTTGTTTGTTTGTTTGTTTTACTAGCCCATGTCAGGCCATCTGTCCACTCCATGGTCCCACAGACTAATTCTATGTGGGATCTTGTGTGCTTCTCATCTATCCTCCCAATTATTATGTGGCCAGAAACACACTGGGTGACAGGAATAGGCAATTCCTTAGAGAAAGAAGGTAATATCCAAGAGACATTTCATTTGGCTGCAAGTAACAAAACCTGGAAAAGCAGTGTCTTGAACAAAGTAGGGCAGTGGTTCTCAACTTTTGATGCATACTAGAATCATCTGGAAACTTTTAAAAAACCAAATGTCTGAGCTTCACCCCATATCAATTACAACATAATATTTTGAGGTGAGATCCAGTCAACAATAATTTTTACAGCTTCTCTGGTGAGTCAGTCCAAAGATGCTGTCAAATCTGGGAACCAGGAAGTAGGGGTTTTACATGACAAGAAATCTGAAGGTAGGTAGTTCAGGGCTGGTGTGGCAGCTTCATGAGGATCAGGGACCAAGGTTTCTCCTTGCTTTCAATTCTGCTATCCTGTGGGTGAGGCCTTTGTCCTCTTCATCATAAAATAACTGCCAAATCTCCAGACATCAGGTCTACATTCTACACAACATAAAAGAGGAAGAGCCAAGGGTAGGAGCTTTACCTACTAGCTGCTCCTTAATTATCAATGGCAGGCCCCTCCTCATATTGTCACCCATATCTTCAAGGGAGACTGGGACAGGAATTTATGTAGTTGGGCACATTATCATGCCCAATAAAATTATAGTTTTAGAATGATGGAGGATTGATATTGGACAGACTACTATCTATTTCTACCACAAAGATGCTTATTAAACAAAAACCAACACATGCCCACTAGAGAGTTCTTTTGTGTCTTAGTCCATTTGGGCTGATATAATAAAATACCAAAGACTGGGTAGCTTATAAACAATAGAAATTTATATCTCATGGTTCTAGAGGCTGGGGAGTCCAAGATCAAGGCACTGGCAGATTTGGTGTTTGGTGGGGACTTGATCCCTGATTCATAGTCTTTTTGCCTTGTTCTCACATAGTGGAAGGGATGAGGAATCTCTCTGGGGTCCCTTTTATAAGGACACTAATCCCATTCATGAGGGCTCCACCCTCTCATGACATAATCATCTCCCATTTCCTAAAACTATCCCCTTGGGGTAAGGGCTTCCACATAGGATTCTGGGGGTAACATAAACATTCAGACCATAGCACCTTCATATCTCTGAGACCCCTTCAGTAGATAGTGGAAAAAACTTTACCATACAATGTAATTATAAATAAAATTAAAATGTGTTTTCTAAAGAGATCAGGACATATTAAGCCTCATGTTTACATATGTCTTATTAAAAATGAGGAATCCATCTTTATGTGACATTTTTACTTCATAAGGCCCCTTATCATTTAAAATCATATTTTTCTGGATGGTATGAGGAAAAGCAGCAAGAATGTTCATGGTGATTTTGAGGAAACATTTGCATAAGGTACTGTTGGTAAGGTTGGGAACTGCACATCCGTGGCAGGCTTTGAGTGCCAGGGCTGGGGACTCATCCTCCAGAGCAGATCGAGGCCTCCCACCCCCTCACCTTCTCTCCTTAACTTCTTATTCCCAGATGCTCTCCAGTTCTTGGTTTCAGTTCCTGCTTTTAGCCGCTCATGAAGTCCAGATGTTCTCCATTTTCATGTTGAAGCTAGATTGTGGGAGCTTCCATACACTTTACCAGAAGGCTGAGGTCAGGAGGCTTGGTCCTAATGAGGAGACAAGGAGGAACAAGGGAAGATGCACGTACCCAAGGCAGTTTACGAAAGGCAGACAGCTAGGATCTGGCAGCTGACTTGAAGTACAGGGAAGGGAGGAGAAAGAGAGAGAGAGAGAGAGCCTCTGAGATTTGAGCCATAGTCACTGAGCAAGAGGATACTACACCCCAAATGGGGAAACTGGGAGAAGAAGATGTACTTTGGGGAAAGATGATGAGTTTGGTTGTAGAAAGGAAGGAGACGGGAGCCGGGCCCTCTCATTGACTGAGAGAGAGTCCACTTTGGGCTAGTTCTGTGTTAGACACTCTGCAGCGTGGGATAGTCAGATAAACTTGCAGCAAGTGGCCCTGACCCGGGATGGCACCCTAAGGACAGAGGAGGGAATGGAGGAATGCTTGGGTAGGAGGAAGTGTGCTCAGAGAGAAAGAGGACAGGGGCCTTGGGCTGAGGGCTTGATCTCAGTCAGGGTCCATTCGCCTGGCAGGGCAGGGGGAGGCATAAAGGTCACAGGGAAACACAGAAGGGGCTGAAGGCTCAAAATCAGGAGGTGCATGTGCTCCGCAAAGAGCCACCCACAGCAGGAGCAGAGGAAGTCTCAGAAGGGGCCCAGCAGAACTCGGTGCTGCTGAGCCCTGTGGGAAATCCAGACACAGAAGAACCTCAGACTGGGGACTTCACGGGGCCTTGGAAAAACTGTCCGCTTGGCAAGCATAAAGGGAAACACACAACTCTCCCACCAGCCCTACCACCCACAGTTTGGCATCCTCCCGACAGGGAATTTATCATACTTGCATACGTGAATTTTTCTTTTCACAAAGTTAGAATACTAGTACGCATTGACTATAACCTGCTTTTATTAAACGGAGCATAATGTGATCACCACACAAGCTGGACAGGTCTGGGCTAGGACAGAACTTAGGGATACAGGAGGGCTGCATGTGCCCCAAGGCTGCAAAGCACAGAGGGAAAAACCACCCTCCCAGGCTGACCAGGGCCACTTCCTGCCCCAGCCCCTCCCTGACATCCATCGCTCTTCCTGCTCATCTTCTGTTCCATTTTAAGTGGTGAACACTCCTGGGAAGGATGTGCATTACACCAAGATTCGCAAAGGCTCAAGACAGGCCTGAAAAACAGAGACAAGAGCTGAAGATAAGAACATATATCCAATCTCCATCATTCCCTTCTGTGGCTGCTCCAAATTTTCCCTGTGTTCATCAATTCCAAATCCTACTCCCACCTGCCTTACTCTGGCTTTACGAACAAGCTTTTCCACAAAATATCAAGCCTAGAAGAACCCCGGTTTCAGGTAGCTCCCCTAGAACATTCAAAGAATGGAAAAGAATGTTTGCAATAAATGCAACATCCCTGCAAGGTGGCTGATGTCATATTTATTCTACAGATGCAAAAACTAGACTTCTAATATGCTGTTATATTAATAGTATATTAATATAACATACAACATAATGTATAACTTATTATTATGCAACACATATATTAATAAAATACTTCGGACTGCATTTACGATGGTGCTCCCATACAATTATAATATAGTGGAAAGATTGCTATCACCTAGTGATATCGTGGCTGTCTCAATGTTGTAGGGTAATTAATTTTTCAAAAATAAATTTAGTGTAAGTATACAGTGTTTCTAAAGTCTGTAGTAGTGCAAAGCAATGCCCTAGGCCTTCATATTCACTCACCACTCACTCAGAGCAACTTCCAGTCCTGCAAGATCCATTCATGGTAAGTGCCCTACATAGGTGTACCACTTTCTGAATCTTTTATACCATATTTTTATAGTACCTTTTCTATCTTCAGATATTTTTAGATTCACAAATGTTTACCATTGTGCTACAGTTGCCTAAAGTGTTCGGTACCGTAGCATGCTGCCCAAGTTTGTAGCCTAGGTGTGTAATAGTCTGTACCAACTAGGTCTAAGGACACTGATGCTTCGCACAACAATGAAACCACCTACTGACACATTTCTCAAAATGTACCTTTGTCTTTAAGTGATGCATGGCCGTATATACCATATATTCATTCGTATATAACGTGGATACTGAGAGGAAAGTGTAGGACTGAAACTAGGTCTAAGGACCCAATCCATTGGTTCGAATTAAGACAAACAGAATCTGAGAGGGTATCACAGAGGTTGGAAGCTGAGGCCCACAAGGCAGGTAGGGCTAGAAAACGTGTTCTCTAAGTACTCTTGCTGTTTTAAAATGGGGAAAATTAACGTTAGAATTAGAATTTCGATTTCTTCCGAAACAGCAGGAGATGTGACTACTCTGGGCTTCCATCCCCAGGAGCTGCCAGATCGTCTGGAGCTGTGTGCCGGGGCCCTTTCAGTCCAGATGGTGCTCACCTGTCACCCTCCTCCTCCCTACTGTCCCCCTGACTTGGGGGCCAAGCTCAGTTGTCATTTAACATTGTGCTCAAGCTGGAAATATCCTCAGGCCCAGCTCTCCTCACTTGTTTTGATGACCTGTCTATTGCCCATAGGCCTTCGTCAATCTTGGTGTAATGCAGTCTCTGCTCCAGGAGCGTTCATTGTTTAACAAAGGGAAAATCCTTAAGCTGAATTAACAAGTCATAATGAAGTGCTGATGTTCAGGCATCAGAGAATCCCCCCCCAAAAGTACTTTTTGTCCAGGGTTTGCCCTAGTGTCTCCAAATAAATCAGTATAAATAACTGTCTATTCTGCATACTCTCAAATTCAAACCAGAAATGAGTCATATATTAGATGTGAAAAATAAATGTATTTGTATTTTCTTTAAGTCATGTAACCTCATTATACAAATTAGAATAGCCTCAAAGTGTAATACATCTCCAAGTTGAATGCAAAAGATGATCCTTGGATGGTAATAATTTTTCCTTCTCCTGCTTACAAGATTTAGCACCAACCAGAAAGCTGTAACAGTTTTGGGAGAGGCAGTTATTTTTCAAAATGTGCTTTTTGTTTCTTGGTCTATGTGTAGGGCCATTTAGGGAGCAGCACTGTTTGCACAGTAAGTTTTTTTTTTGTTTTTTTTTTGTGGAAAGTTGTTTTTGCAAAAGACACACATTTAGTGTTTGCACATTACTGCATCCCTGTTGGCAGCAAGTTGAAATGCCATTAAAAGGTGAAAGCTACCAACTGCAGCTCGTACGCTGGAAGCTTCAATGTTAAAAAGAAAGTGGACAGATCTTAAAAAAGACCAGAACCAATATTGCACAGTTCCAGTCACTGGTGCAGACCATGTGTTTTTTCTTCTGTAGGATTCATGGCGATTATTTTCAGAAAATAACTAAAGTTATTTTCTCACTTCCCTAATAGATCCAGGGGAGATCCATGGAGCTACTTTTCCTCTGCATTTCTCCTATGACCATTCACTCCTCTGTGGATCAATTAATTAATTTAAAAACGTTAATTATGCACTCATGTGCCAGGCCTCATCAACACTTTGTTCTGGGGCATAGATAGTCTAAAACTCTGGGGAGAGGGAAAGGAAATTGTGCTAAATGACTGAGGGGAACGTGAGAACTCGGAGAACCTTGCAGAAGAAGCTTGAAATAGGTACAGCCAGTGGGCAGGCCAGTGCTACACAGCCGCATTGTGGACCTGGTCTAGGATGTAGCCTCCACCCAGCTACCTCCTTCGTCTCTCACTGCACACTCTCCCTTTCTCCTCCTGCTCCTGTAGCCCCTTGGGGTGCAGTGGAAAGACTTGGGACATTGAGTTCCAGTCTCAGTTGGCTGCTTAGCAGTGAAGTGACCTCGGCCAAGCCATCAACTGCTGTGGGTGGTGGTCTCTTCTCATGTAAAAGAAGGCTCTTAAGTCCTTCCACGCTCCAAGAATCCTCAGTCCTAGGCTTCTGATGTTGAAAGATTTTTCAGCTCTCCTACATAGCAACTGGCCCTGAAGTAACAGTGATGTTGAACTTAGACCATGTCACTCTCTAAAATGAGCCAGTATATAAACAAAGTGAATATTTGGAAGCTTCCTACGATTGTGTTTAGTTTTTGCAAGACTCCTAGGACTCCTTTTATACATGTGCAGTGGTTGGAGGTGACAACATCTCAATTAAGAGCACAGACTCCAGCTGATCACCTGGGCTGAATCCCAGCTCACCTGCTTCCTAGTTGTGTGAACTTGCGTAAGTTATTTAACTTCTCTTGCCTCAGTTTCCTCATCTGTAAAATAGGCAAAATGAGAGTCCCAACATTTCAAGGCTCTTGGGTAGATTAATTAATTAGTATGTGTAACGTTCTTAGTGTGATACCCGGCAGAGTATGAACACTCTGAGAATATTAGCTGTTTTTAAAATTATGTCATTCTTACCTACAATTATAGAAAAACGGCAAAGGTATATTAAGAGTGGTTAGGAATCCTAAACTGGCAAATGCAAAGGGAATACTCAGGAGGATGTAACCAGTTATGGGGAAGATTGTGATTCCTCCATTAGACCTCCCCTTTTTTTCTTTTTAAACATTTCAATAGATTTAGGAGGTACACGTATTTTTTGTTACGTGGGATCCCCTTTTTATTAATCTTCCTGTTTCTTATCTTAAAGACAAAACCAAAAAATAAAAATTTGAGGCAAAAAAAAGAAACAATACCCAGAAAGATTTCACTCCACCTTGCAAAAGCATAGCCCAAACTCACTGTCTTCGCTCATCCTTGACAAATGGCCACATGGCCTTTAGCCAACGCTGCTCCACTGAAATGACTCTCATGAAGGTGACCAGTGGCCACGTTGGTAAACTCCATGGCTTCTACTCACCTGTCATCTCTTGCTGGTGCCACCTGGTCTTTCTCTTAAGTTCTAGTGATTATCTGGAACTTAAGAGAAATTTTCCACTCCTGCCAAAGAGCAATACCTATTGATGTGTCTCTTAACAACTCAGATTCAGTAGAACCAGCATTGAAGTCATCTTCCTCCCAAATATCTTCAGTGCAGTCTCTGCTTGGGTTGGGACTATACCATCAGCCCCACACTGGGCTCATAATCTCAATGCCTCTTTTGCTCATCTCCTCTCACCTGTTCCCTCAGCAGCTCTAAGTCAGAACGGATCAGCTCTTGCTCAGAGGATCCCCCTTCCCTCTCGTCCCACCCACTGTGCAGGCTGACACCAGGAGGATCTCCTGATCCACAGCTCTGTCATGCTAAACAATGTCCAATGACTTCATATGACCTACTGAACAGCATCCAAACTCTCTATGCTAGCACTAATGTTTCCTTCTTTCCTCTTTACAAAAAACAAAACAACTGATCCCAGTCCAAATCTTTGTGTGACTTCATTTCTTGCTTATACACAGCACAATGAAGAGACGTGTTCAGCAGTGGGTGCCACACGGTTCTTAGCGCCCAACACAAGGAAAGCTCTCAGTAAATGTTTGTTGAACAGGAAAGAAATATGATACATAATCGAATAGTGACTATGGCAAGTACTAAAGTCCATGAGGAAGAAGCTTCCTAAATATTTGTTCTTCTCTGCAGAGGTCAAAATGATGGCTTTTCCTCTAATGCTTAGAAGATGTACGTTTCACTACAAGATTGAGGCTTTCATTTGAAATGAGAAATTATTTCAGGTTGCTGGGCAGAGGGTACTTCCATAATTATGAAAATATTTCATAGAAATTAAAGTGTAATGTCCTTTTATAGGAGGACAATGAAACAATAAAATATAAAGGCCATTAGATGATTGGAGGAGGAATATAAATTTTTTTACTCCTATCAGATTTTTCTAATAAAACCCAATTTCATTTGAGTCAAATTCTTTTGAGCACTTTTCCAATACAATTCCAATTTATTTTTCCACTAGCTGGGAGCAGTTTTTATATTTTTTTCATTACAAAACCATGGTGCCAAATCCACATCCTGCTAGAAGTTTCAGAGTCCAACTCCCCAATACTTCTGAATATCACCCCCATTGTTATTGCAACATGAATGTGGCCAGTGAGATAGGATTCAGGTTACAAAATTAGAAAAATTATTTTAAAATAATATCACATAGGTGGTTCCAGTGAATGCTGAAATGAAAGAGGATTTATCTGTGTGATCTGATCATTTTATAGTATTTTGGCTTTTGATAAAATGAATGGAACAGAAAAAATATGATCATAATTATTAGAAATAAATCATTTTGTCCCTTACATGATGGTTTCAGAATCTGTATCAATAAGTCACATATTTATCAGGCATTGACCTTACTGGATCTCTGGTTGCCTTAATGAGATTCGGAAGCTTGGTTTCTCTACTCCTTCAATTCATGCCTAATTTTCTTATATTCAAGTTTCAAAAATGAAAATAAGTATAATTACCTAATTACCTACTACTTTTTAAAATTCATGGGTGATGGGAGTATGGAATAACAGAGCACATAACACAAACCGCAGATAATCTAAAAAGCATATGTATGTCTTTGATTCTAGAATGTTGTATTGTTTGCATTTGAATCTGCACATGCAATATTATAAGAACTCACAGTCTTTCATGAAAAATCAACCGAGTCCTGCTATGAAGACCCTACACCCTTCCTCAACTCCCTGGCCACTCTGCTCTACCTGTCACATGGAGGCATTTGATGATAAGTCTTGAGAAGTGCAGAATCCAAGCAGGAGGGTCCTGCAGCCCCACAGACGAATTCGAGTCTGTCTAGCCCTGTTCTGCCAGCAGCAGACACTCCTGTTGTCCCACAGCAACCGCCTCACTTGTGCCTCAGTCCCTCAGCCTGTTTCTCGCTCACTCTGCCGCTTCTTCCCTTTCGCTACTCACTTCTCCCTCTGCTTTCCTCTCAGCCTTTCGGCTTCCTCTTGACCAGCTTGTGGCTGCTGCCTGCTCCATCCTTTGTGTTTCTGTTTCTATTGTGACACTGAATGAGATCACATATCTGTTTCAAAGGCCTTCAAAGAAGAGATGTGATGAGTTCAGTTGGTTTCAGTCTAGCTGAAATCATCCCTTTGGAGCGAGGTCCAAGTGCTAAGGTCCTACAGCCTATAAATAGCTAATCATCTTTGTGCCAGCCATCCCACTATCGTGAATCCAACTTCTGATTGTCGGTCTGTATATAATTCAATTAATATTAGGGAAATGATAAGAAATTCGTGTGTTTGGTGTGCAAAAGCTTCAGATAACATGGAGTCTTTGGGAGGAAGACTAACAGGAACAAAAAGGTCTTGGGGATGAAAGATGGAGCAATTAATGGTTGAGTTGGTGAAAGAAGTCAACTTTGAGGAAAGGCAAGTGGGCTGGCTGGAAGGTAACTCAAGGCTATGAACCAGCCTAGGGGCCCAGAGGAAAAGGAAGGGGAACCCTACTGCTGCAAGACTTGAGTTCCTCTAGAATGAGGCCTCTGTGTTGTATCTCAACGGTGTTCAGGATTTCCGCACTTCTCTTAAAATTATTCTCTTGCTCACTAACCTGGGAAGAACTTGCGGCCATTGCCCTCACCTCCAGGATAAGATCCAAATGTCGTTTGTCTATTCTGTTCCCAGACAGAACCAGAGGTGATTCACTTTATAATGTGTGGCTTTGATAAGTGTTTGTTAGGGACACAAAGCAAGTTGCTGTCAGAAAGTTTTTAAAGAATTTTTTAAAAATTGGGTTTACAGTGTACTATGTGGAAATTATCTTGGACTGTCTTATTGACACTTCCATGAACCAAGATTTTATTTTCAGAGAGCAGTCTTGATTTTGTATGTGGTCTCTGTATTCCTTATATAGATCCTGACTTGAACAAGTCTATTGAATGGAGTGCTCAGAATTCTGGAAGATTCTTTTCTCTGAAGACACACCTTAGTTTTCACTATACTTCATTTCTGGAGTGATATGGCATTTTCCATTGCCCCTGAGATACTAATATTAGAATATTCAGTCATGTGCTGAAGAGACCTCTCCTTCTCTACTCTCCTTTATCCTACCTTAAGCCTTGACTTAAATCCTAGACCAATGTAAAATTTAAAGTAAGAAGCAAAGCAAACCAATGAGCAAATATTTATTAAGTGCCTCTAGTATGTAGACTGGGCATATCATAGTGGCTCAGGAGATATTGTTTTCATGGTCACAAAGCCCATTTCTTTTTATTCAGGTAAAAATTTTACAGCAACTCTAGCTGGTGTCAATGACATCAGGTTTTCTCTATTCAATGTGTCCTTTCAGAATCTTCAGCATCTTCAGAATCACCTTTGAATATTTTTGTTATAATGTTGCTTCTCTATTCAGAAATCTTCAGTGCTCTCCTCTTACCCAAGCCTGGGTACAGCCCTTCCTGCACAGCTTCCATGGCCTACCGTATTTTCCATGATGCCTCTGCTTACTCTGCCCTCGTTGGCCAGGCCATCCTTCTCAGGAGCCAGGAACACTGAGCATGCCCTGCCTTCTTGTGACCCTGTATGTGTGTGCTCCTTCTCTTATAATGCATATTTCCTTCTTCTCTATACACCTGATCTTCAAGGCTCAGATCAAGTCCTCTTCCACAAAATTCTCCTTTATTCTGCCAGTGAACATTTGCAATATGGTTCCCAGGTGTCTAAGATAGATGGATGAATAAGACAGTTCCTGCCCTCAAGCAGCATAAGAGCTGAGTGAATGAGGCAGATACATCAGCAGATGATTACACCAGTGCTGCCTAGCCTTTTTCTAATAAAACATGAGAAAATGATAATATTCATCACTGGCCCCTAGCCTGCTTGTAGCTGGCCCCAGGATCCACCCAGCCACTCTAAAGGCTGAGAGGCTGTCAAACCTGCCCTCCCTCTAACCTGTTTGTGGCACACCAGCTTGGAAACTCAGGGCAATGCTACAGTATGATAAATGCACAGGTAGGGGTAGGGACAGAGTGTCATGGGTCCCTCTCCCAGGCATGGAGTAAAGGAAGGCTTCCTGGGAAGATGGCTTCAAGCTGGGTCTTGAAGAGTGTTAGGTAGCCAAAGAGGGAAGGGGAGTGGGCATGGGCAGTGAGTTTGCCAGAGGCAGCTGCATGTGCCACTGCATGGAAGAGAGGACATGGCTCAGCTTGAGGGGCAGAGGTTAGATGTGGCTCTAGTGGTGAGCAGGCATGAGAAGAGGAGGGTCTTGGGCAGGGGTGGGGGACATTTTCATGTTGGAAGGTTGCATTAATTTAGTTGTAATCAAATAAGGCTACATTCAAGAAACTTAAAAATAGACTTAAAATGTACATTATTTGGGAAAACTCTAACTACTATGTACTTAATAATTTTAAAAATGAAAACTATTTGTAAGTTTTAAAGTTAACTAAATGAATTTGTTGTGTCTGCTTTTTGTTGGAAAGCATTTGAATATTTGGTTGCAGCATGTCGGTCCATAGTTTCAGTTGATCCTCTAGATGGGTATCAGTCATCTGTAACCTTACAGGCATCTTGATTTGGGTCAGGTAGGAAAATGTAGATTTATAGCAATAAGTGGTTGAAAAGCAAGAAAGCAATTTTGGGGCATGTTTCCAATGGCATGGGTATTCTACTCATTTTTCCACATTTCAATTGGCTCTTTCTTAGCATCAAGCAATGAGTTTAAGATGTCATGTACTAAGAACTCAATTCCATCTATAGTTCTTTGGGTGCCTCGGTGAGGTTGAAATGCTAATTTGAGTATGATGTCATGGTTCTCAAAGTCAGGGAACCTTTCATTATATTCTCCAACTATTAATAATAAGTCTATAACAGCTATGTATTCTTCAAATGATTCATATCGATCATCCTGCTCATCAATGACCTTTGCTAACTGGGGAAAATGTTTATCCAAAATTTCCTTTTTGAAGAAGTGTTTTGAAAAAAGATAACATTTCCCCCCAAAATACTTAAATATTTTGGCAGATATTATGTATACACTTAGTTTTACCTTGCAAAAAAATATTCAAGTCATTTTGATTTGACATGATATCACACAGAAATGCTGTATTCCTATAGAAATCTTCTTTCAATAATTCACATTGCTGATTCTGTCCTTCATAAAATTTAACTATATGTTCTCACAGAGATAAAATTTTGGCTAACACCTGTTCCTGCAATAGCCAATGCACCTTAGAATGATACAGCAAATCCACACTGAATACCTCATCATTCCACTTTAGCATGTTATGAAACTAACCATGCCATGTTGCATTCACAAGAATATAGTTAACAACACTTACAACTTGTTGCAAAGTGTCACTTAAAATAGTAGCTTTAGCACAGAAATTTTGCTGATGCAAGATACAATGAAAAGAAATGAGAACATCTGGATCTGTTAATATTTTTTTATCTGTGCAATAACTCTTCATGTTTTCTTGTCATGGAACGTGCACTGTCTGTACATACACTCACCAAATTTACCAACTTCAGTTCAACTCCATGACATTTATCTTGAAAGTTATTGAAGATATCTATTCCCTGTGTTTTGTTCACAAATTGCCCAAAGTTAGTAACCCTTCATAGCAAAGAAAATCTTCCATTACCACCCAAATAAAGTATTAATATAAAACCTGCAGCAAATCAGTAGTATTGTCCCGGCCCGCAGGACCTTCTGTTACTCGCGGGGGTCAAGGGGGACCTTGCCTGAAAGAGATGGGCGAGAGAAAGGAACGAGACCAAGAAAATGGTTGTCAAGGTCTACTTTATTTAGATTTTCTGCTGGTTTTATAAGCATACAGAAACAAGGAAGTAGAAACAAAAAAATAGAGTGGACGACGATGAGGCTTGGGTCTGGGTTAATCAGCCCCAATCAGCTTCTTATCAGTATCCTGTTTTTGACTGGTTACTCATCTCCAACCTGGCAGATGGTTGGGAACAATTGCAGTCAGTGCTCCCTGGAGCATCCCGTGGTCAGCACGTCATGGAATGCATTCTTCTCGGAGCTATAGCTGGAATTTTCCAGGGCTAAGTCCGTGTGTAGGACAAGTCATAGGGGAGTTGAGGGTCTTTGAGGGTCCTTGCCTCTAACATAGTATCAGTTGATTCATCCAAATAGATTGACTACTATATATTTTCCTTTTGAAGTATTGCATTAAGTTTTTCTGTTAAGTTGATGGCTAATTCATGCTACCCATCAGTTATGGTTCTCCCTGAAACAGGCAGTTGTTTGTATTTTGAAACATTATCAGGGTCTAATCATCTTACAACTTCAACAATGCATTTCTTCACAATTTCTACATCACTGAGTAGCTTCCTTTCCCCCCCCCGGTTATAAAGCTACTTTATAAGTTGCTTCAATGGCATTATTTCCAGGTCTCACTTGTGCTTGAAAGAATTGTCTTTGCTTTTGCTTTTTGTCTTTTAATTTCTGCAGTACAACCTTTCACACCTTTCCCTCTAATTTAAATTTTATTTGTGGTCCTTAGGAGTGTTTTAATGCTGATGAGCATTGAATTTCTTTAATGTTGATATTGTAGTATCACAAAGCAAGCAAATCATCTTATTTCTTTTTAGCAGAAACAAGATAATACTGTAATTCCCAATCCTCATAAAAAATCTGTTTTCTTCCTTTAGTGTTCTCTGGGTCTTCTTTGACATGATGGGCTATTAAACAGATAGAATTAAAAAATACTGTTGAGCTGTGCAACTATTCACAAATTCCACTTCAAACAGTGTCAAAAGCCAATAACAGACTGTGTACTTGACCCCCATAAACTCTCGCCAACCAGCTTTGTGTGGTAGTGGCACCGGTCAGGCACGGAAGTTAGAAGGAAACCATGAGCATAGCAGCCATCAGTTTAGCCCTTATGGCTTACTAATGTTCTAATTGTGCTGATCAATTTGGGAGGATTATTTTGTTGAAACTTATTTTTTTCTTTGGTATTTTAAATATGTTCATTTTAAAAATAAAATAAAAATATGAAAGATGAGCAAAAATATATTAATAAAAAATGAAAGGATTTGTTCTATAAAATTTGGATTCAGTCAAAAGGCTACATTTAAGGACCTAGAAGGCCACACGTGGCCTTAAGCCTGCCTGTTCCCCACCCCTCTTCTTGGGTGTTGCTCTAACCAGACTGTGAACTCCTTGAGGGTTGAGACCACATTTTACAATTCTGTGTCTTTCAAACTGCTGATCACATGATGAGAGC